AAAAAAAAAAAAAAAAACCCAGCAATATATTAGTCACTTGTTTTAAAAAAAAAAAAAAAAAAAAAAAAAAAAAAGAAATCCGTTCCAGGCAACATGAATTTTGGAAGGCTACATTATCCAGTATGTTAGCAACTTTACATTCAAATCCTCCTCTCTTTGGCTGCCACATACAAAGTTAACACTCACCATACATTTCATCTTCCAGGCCATGAACAAAAGCCCCACAAGCTCCCGATTCAATCAAGTTCACAGCGCCTGTGTCTATTTCTTCTTTGGGTGCATCGTCTCCCCATTTTCTGCCACTTGAAAACTCCCCAGAGCTGTAAAGCTCTTTGGCTCGTTCATGTGCAGTGCGCTTCCGCTGTGAAAACAAATATTATGATTGATTACAACCCAGATGTATCATAAAGACTATTACATTTTAAAGGAACTATTGGTGCATTAACTGACTTGCTCTGGTTCCATAACAAGGTTATAGCAAGAGGCTTCAACACTGATAGGAGGAAGAGATGTAATTGCAGAGAGACATGAAAGCTATCCTCCTCTTATGTGAAAAATTACTCAATATTTTGTGCTTTGTTTTCACTGGGAAAAGAATTATATCTAACATGGTTTAATTAACATATCGTTAAACACGATTCTTTGGTTACCCCTGTTAAATTGCAGTTAAGCCCTAAAACTTTAACATGACTGTCTGTCTATATTAGATACTAACTAGCACTAAACCATGTGTTAATCAAAATGTCTGCACATTTCCTAACACACTTCATTTGCCCAGTGCAGACAAAGCCTTATTCACTTTCCATCCAACCAAGGATCTCAATACACTTTAAAAACATTAATGAATTTAGCCCCATCATCCTGTGAGATACAGATGAGTTAACCCCTTTTTTAGATGGAAAAATTGAGCCAAAGAGAAGAAGGATTTTGCCCAAGGTCACTATATGAATCAACTATAAAGTCAGGCTAAAACAAAAACAAAAAAACCCCAAGAGTCCCAATTCTAAGCATTAAGTCATTTGAAATGACTGCCAAGGAGATCCTGTAAGATCTTGTACTATAGCATGTTCCCAAAACATGAACACAATCTTTCTGTTCACAATAAATAAGAGAGAAACTCTAAAACAAGATGGTGTCAAGATGGCATGCTAATCCCACTCTCTCCTCAATGAAACCTCCACAGCCTCAGGAGTGATTTATTACAAGAACACAAAAGCTAATGAAGCAGTTTAGGCTTCATTTTCTGTTAGATTAAAGTCAACCTGTCACAATCAATCAACTCTCAATTGCCCTGAGGCATGGAAAAGATAAACAAGTATGTTTGACATTAACATACCTGTTGTGCAATTTGAGTATGCTGGGGTGGGGGGGAGGATAAAATAATAAAAGACAAGGTTTATGTACCCTCAAATCTGACATCAGCTTCTTGTCAAGTGTCTGCTCCAAGAAATGGGAACTAACTTGCTGCATAGATCCCTGAAGAAAACAAACAAACACACACATTATGTGAAGAACCAAGATGGTTATGAATGTAAGGCAACAGAAGCTGCTAAGTGACACATCCCAGCACAGCGACCACTCATTTCTGTATTTCAAGGGGTTTATATAGTGCTCATCATTGCAGTATATAGGAGCTTTTAAGAGTTTATGAGTGTCCGCATATAAATTCATCACAACACCCCACTCTCTATCTATAGGTTTCAGAGTAGCAGACGTGTTAGTCTGTATCCGCAAAAAGAACAGGCGTACTTGTGGCACCTTAGAGACTAACAAATTATGCTCAAATAAATGTGTTAGTCTCTAAGGTGCCACAAGTACTCCTGTTCTCCATCTATTAGTTGGTCCTAGCTAGGGATCTAAAAACCTGGCTTTGAAGTTGGGGGCCATAAATGAGATTTTGGTTGTGCTGAGGAGTCCATTCCGCGCAGAGGAGGGAACAGCTGTGAATCCCCAGCTGGGAAGCTATTTTCTAATGGATCTGCATATACGCTAGCTCCACCTCTCCCCTCAAAACTGCCTTGAAATTTTGGCAGAAATCAATTGATTTAGACACTGACATCATACACAGTATCAACCAGCAAATCCAGTAAACAAAAGTCAGAACATTAATGCTCTCCTCACATCCTTCTTTCCCAAACATAGGCAAAAAAGGCAACATACTGTGACCTTCTACCAAGAGGACATGAGAATAACAAGGAAACTTACCAACAGTTTAGCAGCTTGCACTCTAACAACCCATGAGCCATCACTGACCATGTGACATATTTTTCCAAATGCATCATCAACTAAGCGAATTTCTTCATTGGAAGAAGGAATTGGTACAATGCTGAGTAAGACAAAGGCACACAATATAAATCACTGTGATGAGACTTTGCCATGAAGGATAACACATTTTATACAAAGTCCAATGAAATAAACAGTGCTGTACTACTACTATATAACATAAGGAATCTTAGGAACAAAAAAAAAAAAAAAAAAAAAAAGTAATCTAGTCCAACATGTCAACCCCCTTTTGGCTTATCAG